TGGCAGACACAGTGTATATCACCTTCCTTTAAAGAAATGCAAGACAGGATTTTATCATTCTGAACTACTTATTCACAGAGATATTCTAATTCTGGAAGAATTTCTATCTGGAGATTAGAAAAATGAGTTAAATTAAGAAATCTGAAATAGTAATGTATCACAACCTCAGTGATATTTTGCAGATTCAAAAGATACTGATGAATAAAGTCTGATAAGCCTATGAGATTTGATGGTTTTAGTTCTTCCAGACTTTTTATTATAAAATAATTTACATTGGAAATAATCTTTTAATGCTGAGTGTTGTATTGGATGTACTGTATGTTTACTTAAGGCAGACTTAAAGTATAGTTGTGGTACTTGAAAATATAGCTGTAAAATAGGCCATGTATTTTACTCACAAACATTATACTCAATTGATTAAACAATATAATATAATATTATTAAACAATGTTTGTCAATGTTAAATTTTTAATTTAATAAAATACAAATGTATACTTAACAAGTATTAGTTACAGGTACTGTACATACATATTCTTTTGAATAGACTAATCAAGATACAGAGGGTAAATATTTATGTTTGCAATTCCATAGACAACTCTAGAAATGCAGATATTAGTACTAGAACCCTGTTAATTAAATTACCCATTATGTGTAATAGCAATGATTTAATTAAAATGGTTGCTTTAGAAAATAAAGGTCACCCAAGTTATTGCCAAACCCTGTTGATAATGCTGGTACAGTACAGTATGTGCTAATATTCTCTGTTGAATTACTGTTTGAACAAGAAATGTTAAATTAAAATTTTGCAAGGTGATTTGCTCATTACTCTTGAAGTTCTTGCAGTGTGTAAGTTATTCCAAAAAAGAAATACGTTTTATGTACTTTGGGGTATATATTGTACAGTTGAATTGCATACTTGATTTTTTACTACATAAATACACACAAAAAACACCTAAAGAAGTCTTTTATTTATGCCATTTTATAGTTTACAGTATGTACAATTGACAATTAAACTGAGACAATACCAACAAACAAAGTACTTGAACAATTCATATATATATATATTATTGGCATTGACATCAAAGCTTATTTGCAATCAAATGCTGTTTGATAAAACTGTAAAATTCCAACTAACAGTATCTGAGTCAAAGAACTGCTGCAGGCCTTTGAAGATCAATAGGGAAAAACTCTTTAGCTCGTACATGTAAGACTAACCTTGGTGCATTCAAACAAAGCACAGAGTGGTCTGTTTTGTTCTCAGATGACTGTATTGATTAAACATCTCTGAGGTGTATATGCATATTTTTTATCGAGCCAGTCCCAACAGACATCAGTGTGTCTCCAGTTTGAACCTGCATCAGCTGGAGATGCAATTCATTTAGAGGGAAAACACACTGATCTTTACAGGCCATTTATGAAATATGAGCTGTTTTGCAGTGCCCATATGCATACTTGGCTCTGGTGATTAGTGCTGATTTATGTACACTTTAATTGATCTAGACAGAGGTCCATTAACATTACTTCTTGGGTGGCTAGAGCTGTGTTTCTTCAAATCATTAAACTAATTAAACAAGCTAATTAATCAGTATGCTGTAAGCAGGTTATTTATAGATTTAAATAATACAAATAGATCTCTAATAAAACCTTGATCTTTCTGGTAACTTGATTTTCCATATTTTGAGTTTAGAAACATAAACAGTGAATTGTAGTTTTTTTGTCATTTAAGGAGTTAATTGTATTTTTAAAATGTTGGAATCGGATTAAATACTGGTTACTCTTCACTCTATTTAAGAAATGTAGGATTATCAAGGCTGTGTCTTGTGATTTTTATCACACAAAACTTTACCAATATGTTTTCTTGCTGAGGTTATTTCCCTGAAATGAGTGTAATCATATTTTGTTCTTTACAAATGTACCTTATTTTTTCACAGTTCCTCTTTTCAGGGCACTGGCGAAACCACCTTAATTATACTAATCGGCTCACTTCTTCTTCGGTCAATGAAAGGTCCTCACAATCTTGCTTCCATGAAAAGGACAGTACATGTACATATACTGTACAGTATTTACAGGGTGGTGCAAGATAGCAACAACTTATAACATATAAAGGAGCCTATTGATGTTATGTCCATCAAATCCTTCACTCAGAGGAAAAAGAGGAAGGTACTGTACGTGGTGGAACATGACTTATTAAACCACAAAATAAACCTGCTGTAGGTTGGAGTGTTCCAACCACAGAAGAGAAGAAGATGTGGATAGCAGTCTAGGACATATCACCATGTGTATTAAGACAAATTTTGTTAGGCTTTAGGTACAGTATCTGTAGCCAGGTGATGCTCCTGTACACTGGGGAGTGGTCCTTCTTGGGCGAAGTGATGGAGAGTGTTTATCTTCTCCATCACTTCACCCAAGTGAAGTAGCAGCATGGTTAGGAAAATGATAAATGAAAGCTCTCGATGAGCCTAGGGTGGGACTGTGGTAATTCTTCAATGAAGGCATGATAAGGATCCCAAATGTAATGTGGTCTTCTCAGCAGTGAGATGAAAATGACACACAGAAGCGCAAGCCATCCGAAGTTCTGGAAAAAGGGTGGACCAATTAGGATGGCATGGCTCTGTCCCCATGAGAGTAATTTGGTACAAGATCTCAGTATCAACTACTGTAGGTGAAAAGACACTTCCTCATCGGCATTGCATAGTGAAAGGGAACAGTAGGATTTCCACTTGTTGATAGGCAGAGATAAACACCAATTTGGATTTGATGTACATATACATTTGTAAAATGCAAAATATTTAAAAAATATCTGAAAAACATGCAATATGCATTTATACGTCAAAACATCTTGCAAGGTAAAACAAGAAATCACATAATTCTAGCAGTTTATAAAGACATTATTATTAGTCAATCATTATTGAGTTATTATTAGTCAGACATTATTATAAAGACTTAGAACAGTCTTTGTTCTATACTCTAGAACTATATTAGTTACAGTTGTTACTTTTATATTTAGAAATGATAGGTTATAATTTTTTATCTCCCTGTGAAACTGAAACTTCGTGGGGCCTTTTGGCAAATGCTTTAGGCTGAATAGTGACGGAGCTGAATTGATGGCACAGACCAAGGTGATCAAGGTGTCGGCTCAGCTGTTTTTCAACCTTGTTTACCTGAATCAGTCAATTCAGTCAGACGGGCATTCAATCAATTAAAGGCCTCAGGAGTCAAGTGAGAACTGGGATGATTTAAAAAGGAAGTTACTTTCAGGTGGACTATACTTTTAAGAAAGCAGAAACAGTATTGTTTCTGTTTTATCCAAAATAAAAATCCGAAATATATTCTTGAACATTCCTTCGATACATTGATGAAAATAAAATTAAAAAAAACAAATTTACATGGGAATAGGAGCTTTATGGTATACAGTATTTAATGTAATGTTAATAGTTCTAACTCTCAAAATGTAAACCTTTTTATGCACTACCATTGCTTCATTTGCAATTGAAAGTGTTATTCTGAGTTATAAATATATTATGATGTACATAAACTGTTCATCTTTGGATTGTCCACATTTTAACAAATATTTATATTTAGGGTTGATGTTCCACATGCATACAATATGATAACAATTCTCAATGGAGTATTATGAACATATTTTTTAACACAGTTGTAATGAACTTTGACAATATATTTTCTCCTTTGTACACACCCTTTTTTATTTGGCTTGTGAAACATTATCAATCATTGGATAGAAGTATTTTGCTGACATTATAAAAATGTCAATGTTTTATCATTATAAAAACGTTTAATTAACTTTGCCTATTAGAATATATTCATTTATCAAACAATATATTGCCAAAATATAGAATATAGATTCTAACTTTGCATGTACAGCATTGACAACACTGCTTTTTTCCATTTGTCTTAATTTTCTTCTTAAGTTGGGGTGAAGACATGTTTTATCGAAAAATGCTTGTGCATTTGTGTGCTTTTTATTATTTAAGTTTTTACATGTATGCATAAAAAATAATTCATTTCATGGACATGAACAGTTGTGGATATAGATGTCTAACTGTATTGCTTCATGTTTATTTATAGAACACAAATCCTGCTGAATAATGAAGTTAACAAAATATCTTGAACATCTGGTGAATTAATAAGTGACTACAGAGCATCTTTTGTAAGAAATTAAATAAAATGATAGTCTTATATAATGAGAAATAGATAAGACTTTATTGATCCCGAAGGGAAATTGATGTGTTACAGCAGCCCAGCCCAAGACAAGCAAAGCAGATATCAGAATAGACGCAAAATTAAATTACGTACAGTAATACAAAATAAATACTGTACATAGGCGTGTGCAAAATATGCTCATAGTCACTGTAAAAACAATAAAATATGTGCAAAATGTGCATAGGTATATATAGATTGAGTGTCCAAAATAGTACAATGGTGCAACATGCTGTCCATAGAGGAAATGAAAGGCAAATGAAGTGCTAACAGTCCAAGCCTAGGGCAGCGTTATACACCCTGACAGCCGCCGGGAGGAAAGACCTGCGGAAACGTTCCCTTGAACACCGTAGCTGGAGCAGACTGCTACCGGGCAGCGGAGCACATTTAGCAGTCCCATGAAGCGGATGAGAGGTGTTGTTCATGATGGCTGTGAGCTTGGTCAGCATTCTCCTCTCAGCCACCACCTCCAGGGGATCAAGGCTCAGCCCCAACACAGAGCCAGCCTTCTTGATAAGTGTATTAAATTAGTACATCTAATTTTTAAAAATTTAAAAATCTAAATAATTTTGTAATAATTTTGGAATTATTCCAAATTATTTTAGCAGTATTTCTGCTTACTTCCACCAATCAGAAATCACTAGAAAGTTCAATAGCAAGTAAAATGCACCTGATGCACATGCCTTCTTTCTTAAACATGATCTCTTAAAATCTTTATTTAGTACTTGTTGTTGAATCCAGTCTTAAATGTATTCTCACAATTTTTTCTCCATTTTTCCTAGGGAGATCTTGAGGAGTTTTAGACTTTTATTCCTCCAGTCTGAGACTACCCTGCTGTCAGTTTCCTTATACCGGTAAGATGATGATTATGACAATGATAATGATGTTCTGTGTTATGATAGGTATTAGATGGCTTTTGTACAGAGCTTGGAGAAATCGTATTTCTTGACACCATTATCAAGTCATACTGAAAAAAAAAAGAAAATCTACAATTGTCATTGATATTACAAAACAATTATCCATCCATCCATTTTCTAAGCCGCTTTATGCAGTACAGGGAATGCTGGAGCCTAATCTTGCAAGCAATGCACACCAGGCACAGGATGCTAGTCCATCACAGCGCACACACAAAAACATGCACACTTAGCAGGGCCTATTTTATAGAAGCCAATAAACATACCAGTGTGTCTTTACAATGCACTCCGTTTTACCTCAAGCTCTCAGGGGATAAAAAGTTAAGTAATGCAAAATGTTTGTTATAAATAATTAATTACCATTGTAGGAATATGCATTTGAAAACAACACCTGCCACGCTTTGCTTGGCAGAAGTGTTAGGTTCCAACATTTGGAAAAGCCTTCACTGGCTCATAACACTCTTGAATCTGATACAATTCAAATTGAGTATGCACTGTACATCTTTGAAAATCATTGGTGTATGCATCACTTCAATGACTGCATTGATTTAATACTATGTTCCGATCGGCTGATTTAAAAGTGTTGTTAAAGAAACAATGTGCAGGGAACAGTGGGGATTGTGACATCTCCAGTTTTCTTCTGGCCTCCATTGCTTTAGGTACTTTATATGTGCTTGTTTAGGTTCCTGTTTGCTGGGCTGTGCCTTTTTATTGAGAAACTGTGGCAGGGAGTCTTCATTGTCTCTTTTGGCAGTATTATAGTATTGCCTTGAGCACACTTCTGTAACTGAGTCTGGTGTAGTCCACAAGGGGATTTTAGATATAGTGGAACCGTGTCCGTTTCTCCTGTTTTTGCAGGACTGCTCAGTGTAAGAGCAATCTGTTCCTGTTCTTTAGTTGGCATTTATGTTCATCTGTTCCCTTTAAGGATTACACAGTGTAAAGAGGCAGTTGGCTTGTCTTGTCTTCAGATCCCCTGGGTTATTGGAGGAGTGCCATTATAAAATCTGTTGTGTAACAAGTGTCTACTTCAAACTGTAGATGAACAGAAAGAAAATCTTTGACTAGGATGCAAAGCACTGAAGTTAAGCTAAAGGCTCCAAATCCTTTCCATTGCGTAGCTGCTACATTGAAATGGAAACTCATTTGGCAAATTTTCACTCACTACCAGTTGTAAGTCTTTCTGCTTCTGGGAGTGGTGTAAAGGATTTTAGGTGATTTTATACTTTTTATTATTTTATACTTTTATTAGTATAAAAAATAAAATAAAAATAATTACCCTTTTATCCTAATAGTCCACCTATAAGTCTAACTCGTTTCATTTAGAAGGGTTTAACAGTTCTCTAAAAAAATCAGATTTACAGTAAGATGTATATCAATTTTAATGACCCATTACTCATGTTTTTAAAAGACAATACAACTTTTACTGAGGCTTGGACTGTAAATTAACAGGCTCTATTTTTAGTAAAATTAGTTAATATAATATGATGTTAATAGTAAGCCAAAACAGTTTCAACCAAAATTACTTTAAAAAATATTATATTGTAATGCATTACGTTAACTGTTTTTTTTTTGTTTTGACTACTTGTACATAAGAGAAAACAAACAACTTTGTACAGTATATAATGCAGTTTACAGTGCCATCTAATGTTAGTTTTTGTTTCTGTCATGCAGAAAAAGGTACAGTATTCAATTGTGTAATGTTGCAATGATTTTTCATAATAATAAATTAATATTCTTAAAAAGACGTTTTATCCTCGACAGTTTTTTAACTATTACTGTTTTGGAAAAAAAAAAGATTTTAAAGGCAAATAAAACAACCCATTTTCACCTTCTATAAAATGTAAACATTTTGGAATACAAAGTGTTTTTTGGAAATCTAAAACTTTTGTAATTGATCATTTTTATATGCATTTACACTGATGCCTTAAACTCCTACAGTTTATATGTCTACACAGGTGGTGATGTGAGTAAAGCAATTTTCAGAGTAAAAATATATCTGCAATGCCTGCAGTATGTTTCAAAAGCAACATCACTCAATTATGATTTATGCATACTGTTTATGGTTTTAGAAGAATAAGCTATACTGTACATATTTTGAAAACTGATTACATGTTCTGGCACCATTTCAATTAACTGATCATTGCCTGGAATATATTTGCGTGATTTTGACTAGCAAATAAGCATTAAAACATTAAATAGTGACAAATCTGGTTGAACACAATTGACTAAGAAATGTGATTGTTGCAATCTGTGAAGCCTGGTGAAAATCAAAGAAAAACATAGCAAGGAATGAATGTGCACTTTTTATTAAGAGAAAAAAAATGACTTATGCTGGAGAAACACCTCAATTGAACATTTTAGTAATGTAGCCAAGGTTATGTGCAGACCAACCTGATCAGCGTCAGCAGATGTTCTGCTGATATGCAGTACACATTGGTCACATGTTTAACATGTTTCTATAGATATAATGGGCAGCATTCAGGAGAACACTTTCTATACTCCCACTTTCTGTTGAACTTGATATTTCTATACATTTCATCCTTAATAATCTTATCTCAAAAATCACATTATCTCTTTCAGTTGTGCAAGGATCTAAATTTTGACTGATTTTTAAATATGTAAATGTATCTGTCCTGTGACAGTAATCTTGTAATGCGCCTTGAAGACCACTGATCAGTGGGACTCCAAAGTACCATTTCAGTGTATTTGGATTCTTCAAACAAGGATGGAAGTGACATTTTAAGCATGACTTATCTGTGCTCTGTTAAACAAAGACATTTATCTTGAGGCAAGCTTGTGTTAAAATGTCATCTTTCAATGTTTCTTAAATTTGAATACATCATAAATAAGAAAAGTAATTTTAAGTGGTATGAACTCTCTCATTTTTTGTAACTTCAATTTAAGTAACGAGAAGAGAAACAGTTTCACTTTGTTTTCATTTAAATAAGTAGGGTATCTGTGAAACACTGATATTGGAATTGTTGTACATTCTAATTTTTTTAAGTTGTGGGGCAGTTGCTAATATGGTATACAGTACATCAAAATTCTCAGGCCTCTGGTAAACCTCTGACATGTCAAATTTTTATAGCTTAATTTACTGTACCACACCCTTTTTCACCAAAAATATCTACAGTATAGACTTTGGGAGATGTAAACTAACCACTTGTCCACTCCTTGTTTAATTGTGCTTTAAGTTGTTGTAAATACTGTACATTGTACTGTATTCACACTGTATCACGGTATGAGTAACATATCATTAAGGTATTAGATGTTTACTTTATAAAAGCAATTTTATTATCTTTTAGTCAGATGTAGATTGGTCTACTAAATAATAAAACTAGACTTGATCATTCATTTATCAATTCATTTATTTCAATAATTATTTTTTCTCCCGTAAATAACTTCCTGTCAGAGGTTAATGCTTAAAGTGAATTTCATGCTGCTTTTTAGTAAAGGCAAATCAGGTAATTTTTAAATTGTGTATTTTTTCACATACAGTACCTGAGCATTACCAACTAACCGCAACCCATTTGATCCCATAGCTATGCAGACACTATGCAAAATAAAACTGAATCCCCTAAAATATGTTTTGCAGGTAATTTATGTGAAATGTTATTCGTGGTATCATTAAGTATTTTAAAATCAGGTTAATATAAAAATAAAGCAGAACCTTTTATGACATAGGGAAGAACTGATGATGCAAATGAAGCAATAACTGCATAAAGTCTTGCAACTAATTTGGGTCATCAAACTCTTAGTTTGCCCTTCTGTGCTTTGCTGCAGTCTCCGAGTTTTATTCCCGGGGCGGTCCATCTTACATTTTTCTTAATTATTTAAAATGGATGTATAAAATTTAGAAAGAATTCTTGATAACAGTCAATGGAACCAAGCTTCAGGAAGTCAGGAGTTACTGTATACAGTATATTTGGAATGGGTTGTGTTAAACAAAAACAGTACATGCTGCATTTCAGGAAAGTTAATAAATTCTTAAAGGCAAGGACCTTTGTACCTTAATAATAAAGGCTTCAATCAATGCATGCTCTCTGTGGTTCATATAAAAGTGAACCCAAAAGCAACACAAAAACATGGCAGGTTGAACAGAGGAAATATCAAAAGATGGGACCATGAAAGTAAAACACAGATAAGAAATCAATCTTATAAAACAGAGTATCTGAACAGATGAAACAGTCTGCAATTTTACTGGAGTGAAGAAGCTTAAATTGACCAAGAAGAATGGATTGACATTGGATCAGAGAAATACTGAAACAGATCTCAAGAGAAGACCAACTGGGAGGCCTCATGAAAGATGAGAAGATTAAATTTAATTGTTTGCAGGAGTGTCACAGATACAAAGAGTCACAAAAAAGGGACCTGTGGAGGGATATTAGAGAGAGAACTTCATCCAGGAGGACATTCAGTATCATTAACTTAGAAATGTATATGATTTAGTGCTGTACACTGTATTTTGTTCTGTCTAATATTTACATGAAGACGTTTTCACAGCTGAAATGCATTTTAAGCATACTGTATTCCGAATGTCATACTGTATATATATATATTTTTTTTTTCTTTTTAGATTGTTGTTTTATACTTGTATAATAGCCCATTTAATGTAAAGTGTGATGCCTTACACTTACAGTATATGCTGCATTTCTACCAAGTGAAAAGGCTCCATCCATCCTCTCTAAATGTTCTAATGATTTTGAGTAAGTGCTACACTGTTAAAAGGTGCATTATACAGGTAACAGTCCCTTCTGATTACAATTATGCAGTTGTGGATTTTCCACCCAGAATTATTTTGGATGACAAATTTTATTTCATGACATGTTTTTTTCTTTTTTCCATTAATGTAACATTGTATTTGTTGGTCTTAAATTTTGTCTATGATGCACGTGTGTTTAATGAGCATTGTAATGCCAAGTAGAATAGTGAGTTCA